ACGGCAAACAGCTGGTCAGTAATGGTCCATGTTGGCCTCTTTTCCTCCCCTGTAGACCCATTATCACCTTCACCCTACTACAGCACCCACAAACCCCTATCCAGCCGACCTCATCAAAGTGGGACGACCTGCTGTGACCTCATCAGAGCTGGCTGACCCATGATGACCTCATCAAAGCAGGACGCCCCGCTGAGCTCAGAGACTGACGGCTTGCACTGACCAAAAGCGGGTCATCAATTATCAATGAGTGTGACACCGCTTTTACTGTGTACCTTACATTTCAGTTTCGACTTAAATATGGGAAAACTTTGGTCTCTGCAACACTTTACTGTACAAAAAGGTCCCATTAGGTCCAATGCATTAACTAACATCAATTCATAAATGAGCAATACATTTGTTACAGTATTTGATTGGTAACGGTAGTTAACAAAATTTACAACTTTTCATTGTTAGTTTATGTTAGCTCATGCAGGTCCATTAAATCATGTCAACAGATACAACTTTTGACTTGAATAATGTCGTAGTAAATGCTGAAATTAATAATAAGATGAATAAATGCTTTAGACATATTTTTCATGGTAACTAATATAGGTCACTTATTGTGAAGTGTTACCTTGTTCTCAAATAAACGCAATTTTAACAAGCGTCAAATATGTCACACCCAGCTGTTTGTTTTAGCGCAAAATAAATATTTTTGTTGATTTGACATACATTTTCATGCTAGTTTACACAGTCTCATAAAACCAAACCAATTTTATTATTAAATTTGGTTTGTTTGTTGGATCAGTGTGAACCTATGGAGCATTTATAAGGGGACATGGTGATGAAATAAATATGACATGGGAGAAAAAATTATTTCAATGCATTCCTCAAAGAAACTTTGCATTCTCCTTGCAAAAACAAAATATGGGCCTAATGTTTTCACCCACCTCATGTTATTTCAATTACAAACGTTTTGCAAATGAAGTTTTTCTTTGGCGAGAGAATACCAATGCATAAAAAAAAAAAAATTTCCTCCCATCTAATTTTTTTACCATTAGGGGTTCCATAAACCAGCCTTAAAGGGATAGTTCACCCAAAATATGATAATTCTGAGATAATTCTCACTTTCATGTTCTTCCACAAAAGAAGATTTTTTTTGTCCATATAATGAAAGTCAATGGGGTCCAAAATAACATTGGACCCTGTTGACTTTTATTGAATGGACATTTTTCACAATATCATCTTGCGTTCTGCAGAAGAGTAAATGAGTAAATTATGAAATTGTATTTTTTTGGGAGGGTTGAGAGACTTGATATTTCAGTCATAACCGTGTAGTTACTGCGTTTTGTCTTTGCTTTGCAGTGTCGCTATAACCCCGTAAGGCAGACAGGGACAACAAAATCGGGATTATCTTGAGTGAAAATGACAGGAAACACAAAAGAGGTCTTAACTAATTTTCCCAAGCAAATCCCACCCTGCCTCTCATCACATACAAACACACAAAGCCTCGATCCCAGACCAGCAGTCATCACCCCTCTGTCTACAATGGCATTCACACACTACAAATCAGAAAGAGAGAAAGAGAATAACAGGGTGAGGAAAAGAATAGATGGACTGGAAGAGAGAGTGATAAAAATGGCATCCCTCTGGAAATGTAAAAAGAAAGACAATGGGGAATATGATTAGGAAGGAAAGAGGGAGAATTATGAGGGTGAGAACGAGGGATTGTGACCGGGTTGGCCGGAGAAGTTGGATCCCGTTTAAACAATGAGAGAGAGATGTCAGTCGAATGTTGTTTCTCATTGAGAGTTTGAGCGATGAGCCAGGTCATCACATCTCTCCACCTCATCCATCATTTCCCTCAAACAAACGAGTGCAGTGCGCATTCTTGCCTCCCTCCTCTCTCTCTCTCAGACTCTCGCTGGCTGTGGGACAGTGGGCCTGTGTGTGAGAGTGATGACCGGGGATCAGACTCGCGCTGTGTCTGTCTGCCAGTGTGTGTGAACGACATTTTTATGCGTCTCGGTGTGAAATAATACGAGTGGGTGTGTGAGAGAGCTGGTATCAAAAGGGTTTTATGCCGTTCTCAAGAAAGATGTGCTGCGCGTTGAGCGTTTATCGTCTGTGCGAAATCAAGTGGCACCAGGAACCTTTGCTCTGTAAAATAAAAAATGCGGTCACATGCAAACAATCTTGGTCCTACAAATAGGCCTCATTTTCTTGATGCATGCATTACAGGTCCTTCTCAAAAAATTATCATATTGTGATAAAGTTAATTATTTTCCATAATGTAATGATAAAAATTAAACTTTCATATATTTTAGATTCATTGGACACCAACTGAAATATTTCAGGTCTTTTATTGTTCTAATACTGATGATTTTGGCATACAGCTCATGAAAACCCAAAATTCCTGTCTCAAAAAATTTGCATATTTCATCCGACCAATAAAAGAAGTGTTTTTAATACAAAAAAAAAGTCAACCTTCAAATAATTATGTTCAGTTATGTACTCAATAGTCAATACTTGGTCGGGAATCCTTTTGCAGAAATGACTGCTTCAATGCGGCGTGGCATGGAGGCAATCAGCCTGTGGCACTGCTGAGGTGTTATGGAGGCCCAGGATGCTTCGATAGCGGCCTTAAGCTCATCCAGAGTGTTGGGTCTTGCGTCTCTCAACTTTCTCTTCACAATATCCCACAGATTCTCTACGGGGTTCAGGTCAGGAGAGCTGGCAGGCCAATTGAGCACAGTAATACCATGGTCAGTAAACCATTTACCAGTGGTTTTGGCACTGTGAGCAGGTGCCAGGTCGTGCTGAAAAATGAAATATTCATCTCCATTAAGCTTTTCAGCAGATGGAAGCATGAAGTGCTCCAAAATCTCCTGATAGCTAGCTGCATTGACCCTGGCCTTGATAAAACACAGTGGACCAACACCAGCAGCTGACATGGCACCCCAGACCATCACTGGTCCCCCAAGGTCTGGAATCGGTCCTTCTCCACAATCTTCCTGAGAGGCCGGTCACCTCTTCTCGTTGTGCAGCGTTTTTTGCCACACTTTTTCCTTCCCACAGACTTCCCACTGAGGTGCCTTGATACAGCACTCTGGGAACAGCCTATTTGTTCAGAAATTTCTTTCTGTCTTACCCTCTTGCTTGAGGGTGTCAATGATGGCCTTCTGGACAGCAGTCAGGTCGGCAGTCTTACCCATGATTGCGGTTTTGAGTAATGAAACAGGCTGGGAGTTTTTAAAAGCCTCAGGAATCTTTTGCAGGTGTTTAGAGTTAATTAGTTGATTCAGATGATTAGGTTAATAGCTCGTTTAGAGACCCTTTTCATGATATGCTAATTTTTTTAGATTTTGGGTTTTCATGAGCTGTATGCCAAAATCATCAGTATTAAAACAATAAAAGACACGAAATATTTCAGTTGGTGTGCAATGAATCTAAAATATATGAAAGTTTAATTTTTATCATTACATTATGGAAAATAATGAACTATCACAATATGCTAATTTTTTGAGAAGGACCTGTATGTCCCTGATGAGGTAAAGAGATCAAGGGAGACAGAGACATTCGGAGAGTGCACAGTACGCCCACACAGGAGTTTTTTTTTTATTTCTCAGTAACTCCTCCCACAGTATTGAATTATAATGCAATACAGTTACATTGTAGAAAGCATTAAAACAGAAGTACCTCAACTCACTGATTACTTTTAAAAATGGGATTATAAACATCGACAAAAAAAACAAACAAACAAACAAAGTGAAATAGGAAAGATCTGGTCCTTCACCTCGTGAGGATAAACAAAATCGGGCTTTTCTCAAAGGTTTGGCACAAGAAATCAACATGGACCCAAACGTCACACAAGCTTGCAGACAACCATAGAAAATGTCAGGTACAGCTTGGACCAATCATGCGTTTTAAGAAGAAATAATATCAGCTGTTTTTATTCTTCTGTCCTTTTTTTATAGATTTTACAGTTCAATCAATAAATTGTCATACAAAAAAACCTAGTAATATCTATATCATTTACCAGTTTTATTAGAAGTATAAGCTGTGATGGAACGTTTAATACTATCTGGCATTCAGACTTCTACAAACCCCAGTAGAGTCTCGTCCCCCAAACTTTTCAGTGAGAAATTCTTCATTTCAACACAAGGGGGCGCTTGAGAGCAGTGCTATTCAGTAAACAAACTACAGTTTGCAGAGAAATAAATACAACTTTCAAGATACACAGCAATAACATTGAGACATCAACCAAGAAAAAAAAAGCGAGACAAAAACAAAAAAACAAACAACAAGGGAAAAAACAAACAAACCCATGATTGTCTATAAATGAAAGACACACGAGGACGGTGAAGCTAAAGACTAGCATTCAGGCTATTTAGTGGTATCGTTCGCCACCTAATGGAAAACGATAAAATGCCCTTTACGCGAATTCTACAGATTCAGTTCTTACACTAGTTTTTTCAATTTACAAAAAAAAAAAAGTTGCTAGCATTTTTTTTTTTTACAACCACTCTTCCAAACTTAAAAAAGAAACGACTTAAAAAGAGCGTCTGTTTTCCGCACAAAACTGGCGGGAAAGTGGGTTGAAGGTAATGCAGTGCTTTAATTGGACAGAACTTGAAAATAGTCACTGTCTCGCTCCTTACTCCCTTTTTTTTTAACAAGCAGCGTCAGTGAGAGGTCTAAAGGTCACACCTTTAATCTGTTTACGTTTTTCAATTCACAAACTTCTGGAGAATATCTTAAAAGAGAAACACTAAACCCCACGACCCCTCGCATAAGTTTGTAAAAGAAACTGTTCAAATGCTTGAAAAACACACATGATTGTGATTTGTGTGTCTGTATTTGTGTTTGCGTGTGTGATGTTGTTAACTCTACATATATTCACAGGCCGGCAGGCGGTTGCGCCTGAATAATCTGCCATCACATCCGTCTTGTGGAAGACTCTTATCTGTTACTCTTAGTAACTACGGTTTTAGCGGACAAAACTCACAAACATGACAATCTCAAAAACCGTTCACCAGCTGCCACTGCTGTGCAAAACATTGGAACTTGACAGAATAAATACAATTATTATTACGTATTACTACTATTGTCATCATCGTCTTCATCATCACCATCGAAATTACTGACACTACTGTCATTCCTACTAACTGTACTTGATCAATAAGTCAATCAAACAGTCAATCGATAATTTGTTCATGTACATGGGATCTTAGTGCGTATGGCATATGAGGATTTGGGCACTTGTGCAGGTGTGTGTGTGTGTGGACCGGTAGTGTAACACAATGTTAAGTTAGGTCACATGGTTACACGGAGGTGTCATACGTGGCTGAGAGACTGAATGGCGCTGGGTTCTGCAGCGCGGGCCAAACTGTGCCACATCGGGGCATTATGGGTAGACGAATGGAGTGGATCCTTATCAGCTAGAGACAGCATCATAGCATATGCCTATAAACAAGAGATGTACAGTTACAAATACACAAACTATATTCATGGAAAATCTGATACTCAATTCGACTACGGTCACGGTGATATACCTGTGACTTAGACTTCCTGTACAGAGGCTGCTTAATGCCTTCTTGCAGGTGGGCGGGGCCAAAGCTGCCGACGTCACCGTCGCTAAGATCCCCGTCCTCCATGCTAAAGTGACGGATGTGATCCAGCGTGGAGAAACTGCTGTGATCTTCATCATCTTCATCCTCATTAAACCTGAAAACGATGCAGAGATTCGTTTTTACAACCGAAAAATGAATGGATATAACAAGTACCTTCAGGTGTTTTTTTTGTACGCGTACCTTTGTGGTGAGGATTTGCTGGTCTCTAGATCATCTGGTCCCTCGAAATCGATGTCATCGTTTATGACGTCATGGTCCAGACTGCTGGGCTCGCTGGGTTTCCTGGCGCAGTCGCTATTCTCCGCCTCCTCTTCCTCCGCTCCGAGCTCCTCCCCTTCTTCTTCGTCCAGGTCACGTGATTCCTGGCCAGGCGGGGCTTTGTCGGCATCGAAATGACTGCCGTTGAGCCTATGGAGAACAGAGAGAATCGCTTGTAATGACGCTACGCAGGCATGAGTTTTTGACTGATACGCCAATCCCTGATTACAGAAAGAAAATCATTTAGCGCTGAAACCTAGTTCTGTTTTTCTCGAAAAAATAAACCACCTTAAAAAGCAGAACCACATGCCCACGCTTTTCTAAATGAGAGGAAATGCTCAAAGAAAGAGGGCGAGTGTGTTGGAGAAAGAGACTGTTTGTCATCAGTTACGAGGGCCCCTGGTTGGCAGAAACGAGCCGCCCATCGGCGGGGCACTTAGACAGCAGGCCTCTACACTTCCTCTCACTTATTTTCAGCTCTCTTTCTCACTCAGACAGCTCACATCTCCTCTTTCCCTAGTTTATTTTCTTCTTTATCTCCAATTCATCTAATAGGCCAAATATTTAGCTGACAGTCCATTTGGTGAGTGGAGAGAAGGAGCTGCCAAAGCAGCCATTTCCCCACAGAGACAGAGGCCAGCTATCCAAACTCACACACACACACACACACACACACACACACACACACACACGCCAGCCAAAGGAGACACATTAAGGCTGAATCACTCGTTTTGTCCTGATTCTACTCTTTCCTCAACTTAAAAATAGCAATTTCCCATCCGAACGTTAAAAACAGGGAGGAAAAATTGCAAATACAGAGAGGATAAGAAAATATAAGTTTGTGTGTACAGATGTTTGCAATGAAAATTTCTCAGAGAAAGATTCCATCTAATCGAGAGATCTCAATAAGAGAATATCTATTAAAGGGGCTATATGTAAGAATTTCCATGTATTTATCACTTTTTTATTGGCAGTGTGTGAACAGCTTGTAATGAAACTTAAAAAACGAGACCGTCCCCAACTTCCTAGTTTTTCTTTGAAAGCCTGTAGACTGATTTTTTTAAGCACTCAGTTTTTTTGTTGGGAAAATCAAATGGATGTGAGTGATGTTTACGCCCGATAACCTCTGTTCCGTTCTATGACACATGAAACGAATGCTTACAATGTTCAGGATGATGCCGAAAGAGCCATTCTGTACTGTAATGTCAATGTGTCATGCAATGAAAAGAGATTAACTCAAACTATAGTCTAAGATCTGTATTTTATAGTCTCAACATACTAACCAAACTATCATAATAGTGTAATTTTATTATTATGTGTGTCGACATAATGCCGGTGAATTTCAGAGCTGATGCAAACATACACATTGCTATGATCAGATGCTTTCTTAACAGCTGTTTTCTCACCACTGTCATTTTTGTTGTGTGTTTATTCTGTTATTGAGAGAAAAGCGCAGGCACATATTTACATATTCCTCTAGCATCGCTCTCAGCAGCGTTGAAGTATCTGGATGTTCGTTAACGTTATATCACTACAACGATATTTCCGACTTCTTTTTACTTCTAAGCAAAGAATAAAAAAAGCACTTTAGGGCCTTGAATCAAGTTCAGTCTCTTGAACGTTACGTGCGCACGATAGCGAAGTTGCTGGCTGCAGTTCCCTTAATGGCCACCGGTGTCACTAATAACAATGTTTAAAGAAACCTCATCTGGAAATGAGCCAGAAATTATGGATCAGAGAGAGAAAATATTAATGCAATAAATTTCATCTTGGAAGGATTTGATAAGAAATATTTGCAATCATGTTACTATCGTTCCATCCACCAACCCACCCATCCATCCATTTGCATCCATCTGTAAATAAAGTCTAATTTTATCTTCCAGGAGACATTTTAGGTCAGCTATCCAAACTGATATTATAGCTCAATATTGTGATTGTATGTTAGCAATCTTTAGATGAAATCTGAGACAAAGTAGATACTTAAATGAAACTCTCCATTATGTCTGCTGAGCTATAAAAGAGCAACATCTGAGCAGTAACATTTTCCTCTAGGCTTCATCTCTCACCTCCGTTCTTTCCTCGGATTAGTGTAACTGCGCGAGGGTTAACCCTTTTCACATCTCGGATAATCCCAGAAATCACCTCCTCTCATCACTCTGCACCCCGCTAATGCCGCGAGAACGAGAGAGAGGCAACGCTAGCGTGATGATGAAAACAGATCGGCTAATTAGAGAGAGCTGTGGTAATTTGTGGAGGATAAAGTATCTATCAGGAGCAGTCACTCTGACAGGAAACATTCAGCGACCTCTGACCTCCTCTCCCACACCTACTTCCTGTTCACAAAACACATGTTGGGACCAGATGTGGGACGCGCGCAAACACACACACAGTCGATGTTGAAATGACTCTAGGATCCTTTTAATGAAACAATGAAGAAATCAAAAAACCTAAGATCTTTATCTGACTCAATCTGTCACACACACACACACACACACGGATGACCAGGTCAAACATTTAAACCGTCATCCAACCTGATGATCATTGCTGGGAAATGATCAGCGATAATTATCATATGCAGATGGCAAAATTCATGTACGCACACGCAGCCAAAAGTCAACAGCGTTCTGCACGCGCTCGCAATCGTCCAATCAGTAATCACGTCCTTCTGGAGACCTGCCCCAATCTTTGCTCTTAAAAACCGCAGGCGACAGGGTAATGATTAACAACCATACAGAATATATGTACACACACAGATACGTTCACATGTGCGGTTAATACACACTGCGATATAAGTCCGTTCCTTTCATGTGATGGTATTCACTCAGAGGTGAGGGTTAATGAATAAGGCATGAGAAGTGTTGTGTTCAGTAATGTTTGTGTATAATAACCTCCATTCTGCCGCAGGCAACTAGCGCCAACTGATGACTGACAGCCTAATGGACGCTCCGTTTGCGGGTGAGTTTGCTTGTGTGTGTGTGTGTGTGAACCTGCACATGATGACTGAGTGCAGTTTTCGGTAAGATATTGATTTGAAGTTTGAGTTTTCATGTGAATACCTAAAATTTAACATAAAACATTTGTCTAACTTCTGACATACATTGAATTTAAACAATAAATAAATAAATAAATAAAAATGACTGCAATAAATAAATAAAAATAAACGTTTTTAAATAAAATATTAAAAAAATAATAAAAACATGAAATAATTATCTAATAAAATATGATAAAATTGATACATTAATAATAGTATAAAATAAAATAGTCAGATTTGACAATAGTCAGATTTGACAAGGAAATGGACTGACAGCCGATGTGAAGATTGATTTTAACCTGCTCCACTTGTACAGGCTCAATGTTTGAGCACATTCACTAACCACTAAGCCCAGGCTCTGATGACAAATAAGACGTTTTCGCGTTTAAAAGTTAGAGTCTATATATGAACACTGTGTACCACTGTGGTATTAGTGTACCAGAGGAAGAAGATGGCGTTTACCCTTCCTCGGAGTGTGACGGAGATGTGGCGTTCCGTGCCGTGTTACTGATGAAGTTTCGTATTTCGTTAAAATACGAATCCTCCTTGTCCTCCAAGATGGCACTGCCACTGTCCAGCTCTGAACGGGGCGACGACATCGCCGTGCCTACACATAAAATACAACATTCATTAAATAAATAAAAATAGAACCATTAACAGTTTCTAACAAATGTAAATAAAAAATTATAAACTATATATGTATATATATGTGTGTATACCTGATAAATTACCATTCTCGTGTTTTTTGAGGTGCCGGTCCAGGTTGGTTTGTTGCCCGAAGCAGCGGTCACACAGGTGGCATTTGAAGGGTTTCTCTTTGTTATGGATGTTACGGATGTGGCGCTGAAGATTCGATGAAATACTGAACGAACGATCACAGTACTTGCATCTGCGGACACATATGTACATAATTAGACAATGCAATATACAGACACGAGAAATCAAACTCTCTCGTTTTATCTGTCTCGCACACACGCGGGGTGATTGAGTGGTCGTGAACTCTTTGTCTCTAATCTTTGGCCAACTCAGTAACACTCAAACTCTCTCGTCCACATCCTCCCTCTGCCTTGAAAACGGCTGCATGTGCCAAGTCTCTTCACGCAGAATTATCCCGTATGATTACGCGATCGTATCTTCCCCTCGACCGTGGAGTTGTGCGCTAAACTGCGTCTCCCAGGAACCCGTTATCTCTCCCTCGTTCTCTCCGTCTCGCTCCCCCCCCAAAAGCAACAGAAAAAATAGAAATTAAATTGTAGTTAAAGGCTGATCACCGGCTCGTTTAAAGCCCTGCCAGCACGAGGAGATTGAGGCTATCTGGAAAGTAACACAGCCCTGTACAAACCTCCCCTGTGGTCAGACGGACCACAAACGCAGTGTGTGCGCACGCCTGTTTCTGTGCAGTATTTTAATACTCCCTGAAAGAGTCTGAGGCCCAAACACGGGCCTAATTACCCAGCTGCCTTTGCTGGCCCACAGCTGTACGGCACTCATCGCCTCTATTATTCATACATACTTCTTTCAGTCTCCTTGTCTGTCTGTCCTTCACCCTCATTGACTTGACCTCACTCTTTCCCAATGACAATAACTGCATATATCGAAGAATAAATGACAAAAATCACATTTACTAGAGAGATTTCCATGATATTTTAGGATTTTATTCAATTCCATGACTTTTCCCTGTCCTAAAAATCACAAATTTAATCTCCATCATAGTTCCAAGTATTCACTGACAGAACATTTAGTCTTCTGTGGTGAATAGAAGAACAGTTCACTTCAAAAGCAACCACTTTCTTACTTTTCTACTCTAGATCTCAACAATATCTCAAACTGTCCTCGATCTTTGATGACACACTCTATATATATATTGTGTACAGATTATACTGACATTATTGAAAAACACTGAAACAGAAATGACATTCTGCTACTATATTTCAATTTAGCTTCTTGGTGCATTGATCCGTGGCAACAAATTGCCATTGCACGAAAGAATACCTCAATAACATACATCCGAATGTGTATCATTTCTGCAGTATACGGACCCGTGGCATTACCCATATCTGCTCAGTAATACTCCCGGATTCATCCGAAATTCTAGTACACTGGTCCATATACACCTCTTTTCATGCATTGTCGACTGATGCTATTTGCTAAGTATGTGAATAATTGATTACATCAAACTGCATATATTAGTGTGTGTGAGAGAGTGTGTCACCTGTAAGGCTGCTCTCCTGTGTGTGTCCGTAGATGCCTTGTAAGGTTGGCCGAGCGTGGGAATATCTTGCCACAGTATCTATAGGGGAAGGAAACAGATCTCCAGGAACAATACTCAGCAATACACACACACAAACAGGCTTCCCAAAACACCCTGCATTCCATGCTCAGTGCTGTCAACACTCATTAAACATCAAACACATGTTTACTGAAACATCTTATTAATGAAACAAACAAAACGTTATTATAAACATGATCACTATATAATAAATACCAGTAATATACTAAATGTAACTATTTAAGGGTGTCACAAAATACCGGTATTGATGACAACCATGATATTTTGTTTAGTTACTATACAATTTGCTTAGTTGTTTGTTCACTTACTCTATAATGTTTTTAGATTCTTTTGTTTGATTACTCTTGTTTGATAAGCTAAAACGATTTTATTTTATCAGAAAACAAGACAGAATTTATTATGTCATTTTACTTATCTAGTAAATGCTTCTTGATTTACGAAATTTTAGATATTTGGACAGGAAACAAGACAAAAATTCTAAGTATTTAATAAAAGCATTTTCTGCAGTGTAAAATGTATGTTTTTAATGTAACCTTCTCCCTTTAAATACTTTGGTCAGTTCAAGAATAATTTATGCAATTTCATATTATTTATTTGAAAGAATTAAATGAGCAGTTTCATGTCTATCTTTGTATTGTTCAACTGGTCGAGGTTGTTACGGGATTAAGAAAGTAATTAGTAATAAGTAATGTGATAATTTTTAGAGAGAGTAATTAGTACAGTTATCTAATTACACTGTTGAGGAGGTAATAAGTAACTAGTAATTAATTACTTTTTAGAGTAACTTACCCAACACTTTGTGTGTGTGTGTGTGTGTGTGTGTGTGTGTGTGTGTGTGTGTGGATATACATACATATATATATATATATTGTTTCACTCATGGTATTTAAAAGGTAGATAATTGAAGTTTTTCTTTAATAAGATATGGCCATAATGTTCTAAGAGGAAGTCGATGTTCATCATCATGGTTACCTGCAGGTGTAGCGCTCTTTGCCCTTGCGTAACAGTGTCTCAGGAAGGGTGGTGGGTGGAGCCCGGAAGTCGAACATGGAGGGAACGGAACGCATGATGTCACCGCCGTCTGGCTTCAAAGAGCCGAAGGATTCCAGCTTTTCGGCCATGTTTTCAATCGCTGACATCTGCGAGGGACAGAGAAAAGTTTTATTACCTCATTGTGAGGTCTTTAAGGACACACATCCCCACTGTGTTACCCGCATTTATTGACATGCAGTTGCGTTCTACCACAGATGTGTGGGGGAAAAACGCTGACCGTGAACTTTCACTATCGGAAAACAGTGTGAAATGCTTTCACTGATCTGTAATGTCCAATTTTGGCGCACAAACACAAATAACAATGCACGTTATAAGATGGACCACACATGAGCACACACACACACATAGAGAGATTCATGTGGATAAGAACTGCTGCCAATTTACTAATTAAGCCTAACAGTTGCTTTCCTCAGAAATGGACACACTCTCAAAGGGGAAGGAGCTACATGTGTGTGTCAGCCAGAGAATGAGAACAACATAAGGCCTGTGTGTGTGTGTGTGTGTGTGTGTGTGAGCCACACTGAAGAGCAGGAGTGATTCATGTCCTATGTTGGCCATAAAGCATTCAGTGCACAATATGAGCAGACAGCACATTCGTCAATATGAAAGATGTTGACATTACTGATCAAGGCTGAGACAGCAGTAATAATGATATCATAGGAAGGAGAGGGAGGGGACGGAGCTGAGGGAGGGGGGGTGGGGGTCCCTGTAGGCGAGCGGGCCTATCAACCACAGCGCAACAGTGAGGGCTTTCAGAGAGCACAGCGGATTTGCATTATTTCATGTGTGTATTGAATTTTCCCCTTTACTTATTTCAGGTTTTGGTGACAAATCAGTCCTGATTCACAGCGAAAGACATACATGACACACACACATACAGACTTGCATACATAAACACGCAAAAAAAGTCTGTTTCCTTCAGTAGAAAATACAGTAGAGAAGTTTTAAGAAAGAAAGAAGGAAAGAAAGTTTATCTTAGAACCAATGGAGAGCCAATGGGGGCTTGTGTCTCCTGCTTGATCTCAACAAGGTCTCAAATTGCACTCAGATTTTCTGTCTCATTTCTCATCAAGTTCCTCCAAGACCAAGTAACCCGAGTTCTGTGTTATTGTAGGAATGAATGAAATAGACACAAAAGGTTGTTGACATACAAGTAAAATGAAACTAGTGTGGATGGCATTGCTTAGACAATCTTGGAAAAAATTCATCTTGGTGATCTTGGAGATGTTTTGCAGTGTTTTCTTCAAAAAATCAAAGAAAGAAAGGGGATACATCTTTACATTTACAAGTATTTATGTGAAAGGAGAGGACAAAGAATGGGGCACTGAAAGAGAGAGAAAGATCAACACGCAAGATAATTTGGACGTTTGATGAGGAATGACAGCTGGGAGTTAAAGTTCTCCATTGGAACGTCAGGATCACATCCTCCGGGAGGATGTGAAGTGTCAGACCTGTTTGACACCAACTCTCTCTCCCTCTCTCCATAAATCACAGACGGAGAGGAGGGATAGAAGTGTATCTAATAAACTACTGTCATATATCTAGATGATGTGCTGTCTCTCTCAACTAATGCTCGGCTACACTCTATTAGCATCTCAAACTCAACAAAACATTGTCATTTTTCACTCATCAGCCAGACCACTAAATCACAACACTTGGAGAAACACATTTTTATCTAGTTATCTAATTATCTAAATGAGTGCATACACTATATAAATATACAGTGATATATATATTCTTTCATAAAGTAAATATATACTGAAATTGATAAACCTATTTTCCCTTTAGTTTTAACAGATTTACTGTATCTTCGGTGAACATTTGTCACCATAGGATTATCTCTTCAGTACTGTTTCATTGCACAATGAGATTGAATGCGGACCAAATAAAGATTTTTGCTCAGGTCTCCTGCTTTTATGACTTATGAAATACCCTAGTAATTTCATGTGACTCTTTTAGATTTTCAGAAGAGATATCAACAATGTCTCAAACTGTGCTTATAATTGCCAAAATAGCAAAGTCTGCAATCAAAAGTTGATTTTAATATGAGCTCGAACATGATCTGCACTATACTATCAACATTAATTTTTATAGCTCTATGATTTTACAGTATGTCAGCAATTGTCACATTTGTGTCCATTTTAATTTCTCCTTAGGGATTTTAGGAGAAACATCTGAGACAAAGTTACACGAACCATAGCAGACTCCATTAAGACTTCTAAGGTACGAAAGAGCAATAAAACCTTCCTCCGGGACAGAGGTTTGGTCCAAAAAAACTCACATTCACACATGCATATTTTATAGTCATTTTGATTGGTCCTTGAAGTCTAAACATATTACCATAGATTGGTATCTCTATGATTGCTGTAACAACTAAGTCCAAAGAAATCTGTGATCGGCAAGGAATGGACTTCCTGGATGGTTAAGTAGCCTTCACCCTCTCCATCTCTCTCGCTGTGGTAGGGCAGCTGTTGAGTTGCCCATTCTCAGTAGTGTGTGTCTGAGAGGCCCTTCATTAGTAAGAGCTTTTTCAATTGTTGATCTTATCAGGGTACCAGATGTCTTGGGTCTGGAAACCCCCTCTTGTGCTATCACACACGCTCAGAGAGGGGTCCCAGAGAGACTGTTACCCGTCCAGTGATGCGATGCCGTACGGGGAGTGTCGCCACCCCAAATCAGAGCCGTGGTCTGTTACTCTCTCTATGTAAATAATCAAATTCACTGCATTATCAGTGGTAGCCATCAGAAATAACAACTGTTCTGTCTGGTTAACACACACACTGGCACACAAGAGCGGAGACATGAGTGCACCAAATGACACATAAACAGCAGATTCATTCACACGGGCACAGTCAAAAGACATTCTTCCACTGTTCAACCAGAGTGCGTTTCATTTGAAGAGTAGTTGTGTTTTTATATATATAGAAGATCAAATGTGCTGTTATTGTACTTAAATCCAAAAAACTAATCAATCTGTTGCCATGCACTGAACAAATAACGCAAAAAAAGTGCAAAAGAACGGATGTTTACAGACAAAACAATAATCTTCTCTGAATTGACTTTGGACCAGATTTAGCTGTTTTAGGTATGATTTGAGCCACTTTTCCACCATTGGGCCAAACTGTTTTCTTTGCTTAACCGTTCCATTCCGTGCCGATCCAGCCCAGCCTGTGCGGATATGGTTTTATTTTCCATTGTGGTGCTGATAACACAGCTCTTTTGAATGTAATACAAATGCATCAGTCTTATAGAGTTTACAGATGCTATGAGATGTAAATAGTGATTAAATTAAATAAATGTTATTATTAATATGTGTTTACGTTGCTCAAATAGCGCACTTAGTCAGCTAAAGAGAAACTGTTAGCCAGGCAACAGACAAGTGACCAATCCGGAGTTGCGATGTCACTACACACATTCAGCCAGCACGGTTCGGCACGGTTCGCCAACCGTGATGAGAAGTCCGGGCTGAGAACGGTTTGTAATCGTGCCGTGCCGAACAAATCTCAAGTGGAAATATAACTGGAGCCGTTCCTTATTGTTCCTAGACCCTTTCGGCCCGACGGTGGAAATGCAGCTTTGGTCCATGCATTTGTTTATTTGAGTGATGCATTACACACGCTAATACTGAGCGGCAGTGTACATGTACATGTAGCAACAGGGTGATTTGCATGAAATTATTAAGCATGTGAGTGTGTGTGTGTGTGGAGGAAGCACATGAATGACTTGGTTTGGAGTAACTTACCCATGTTCTCTGATCAGGCATGCGAAACTGGGGGCAGGACAGAAGGGAAACAGCATATCAAAATCAAGAATCAGACTGATCGTGTGTGATTATGCAATGTGATGTTTAGTAAAGGTTAATATCCCACACTTATAGAATTTTATTTTATTTTATTTTATCCAGTGGTTGTCTAATTCTTTTTACTATCATTTTTTCTTCTTCTGTTGGAATGGAAGAAAATAGAAAATATATTATTTCATCAAATGTTCTGAAGACTAATGATAAATAAAAACTATACATTTAATAAATATTGTAAAATATGAATATAATACAACAACAATAATAACAATAATATTTGTATCATAATTATGAACTCATTAAAATGCAACTGGTGTGCTCGGACCATAAAAGCATTGAAACTTAAATAACTTTAATAAGTCCGCCCCTCCCCAACAATCCACTTGATCTCCCAATGTTTGTATTTTGCTCTACTACTCTACTGACATTGTAAACTGCATTTCCCACAATACGTCTGTGCTGTCAATAGTATCCCTGGTGCCGATTAGAGAGTCCAGTGAGCATAGTGCAGTAAAGTGGATGCTGATAGGTCACCTCGTTAGGCAGTGTGTCAGGGACATGTGGATATTATCTCACACAGACACAAAGCATACACAGGGAATAAATCAGGCCAATGAAACAGCCCATAAAACACTGTCCTGAAACAGCCAGTAAAACACTACACCAGTAAGCGTCTATGTGTGCGTTTCAGGGTCTTTATGTGTACCAGACATGTGTGTGTGGGTTTATATGAGAGAACTATGTATTACTTTTACAGAACACTGATAGCGAAAACACAATGACATAGAGCAGACAGGTTACTTAATACACACAAATGAGGTTACATAGACACTCAGGCACAAAACCACACGCTTATACTCTGACAAAATCACTCATTACACACACACACACACACACACACACACACACACACACACACACACACACACACACACACCATCCAGGGATATGGGTCAGTGTCTCGCAGTTTAACAGGGTATCAAATTGTGACATCATAATCAAAGACACCCACACAGAGACGTGTCACAAAGCTCCCACCCTGCCTGAGTCTCACATCTGGACCTGATCACTCGGTAAAAGAACCACACGGTGGAACATAGGAGTCGCTATGCTAATGCTAAAACACTGGGGCCCTGTAAAGCTACTGCCAACATACTGTAGCTATTATGTCAATACTAGCATCACGAGGAGTTATTTGGTCAATACTGGAAATTGCATTCAATTGGACAAGTAATGTTATGTTAGCGTTTAAAATTGCTTCGAATTTGGTTAATGTACTGAACTGATTTTAAAGCTGCAAGCGATTTCTGCATCTGAAATACACTAAACTGAAATTTGTCATTACAGTAAAATAATGGGATATACAGGATGAATGTTTCCCAAAGACTTCTCATTTACACAAGTATAAACATCTAGACTTTAAATGGTGCTTTTTATCAGGTAATTGTGCGTGTAAAACAAGGTGCTTGATGCTTTTACCGTGGAATTTTTTTGTTAACATTGGTGGGAACTAACAGATGAGAAAGCTTTAAAGTCATAGAACAGCTTGCGTTAACACTGACTCCAGTAGCACAGAAAGAGCCAATTGAAAATAGGCTAATGATTTGTGCAGGACTATGGGGATGAGGTAATAAAATAAAATCAAGTCAGCAGTGGGAAAATATTCTGACAAATCTCACCTGTGGGTGGAAGAGAAATCCAGGAGCCGGCCGCATATACTTGTCCTTGAGGACTTCGAATGGATCGTTCATCTTTCTCTTCTCAACCCTGCTGATGTTAAATTTCTATCAGTTCTCATGGCGAGTTTAACCGAACTAAATCTATTCCATTACTCTAACACAGTAGGAAGCACATGTGATTGACAGTACCTGTAAATGGGATCCATGAAGAAAGGCGTAGGTCTTGCGTGTTGGAGGGATGGGTCGGCTTTGGGTGGCTCTGGTTCCACCCTCTCTTCTCCAAAGACAGGGATCTTTTTTAACTCTTCCCCTCTTACGCTCTTTCCTCGACTTCGCCCGCCAAGACTGAGGTCCAGCGGCTGATCCTGGTTGGCTGATTGTACATGTGAGGCTTCTGGTTTCAAAGGGCCGCAGGTGGCCGCAAGACGTTCTTCCTTCCGCTTGGTGGTGAGGTCAAAAGGTGATTCAGCATTTCTGCCCTTAAGTTTTTTACCCTCAACTGGAGGGCTTTCTGGCTCCCCTTTGTGGCCTGGAGGTCTCAGTTGCTCCCTTTCAGGGAAAGGATAGACTGATGGAGAGAAGGCAGGAAAGAACGATAGAGGGAACATGGAAGGGTATGGCAATGCCCCAACTTTTTTGTCTTGCAGGCCTGCAAGTCCAGTAGAACCAAAGTATTTCTCAGCAATGGAGGCAATTGCCTTGATCGAGTCATTAACGGCACCGGAAACAGCCGTTTGCTCATCCAAAGATGGTTGGACGAGCCCTGGCACAGGGAAGTCTTTTCCATTATTGGTGTTACTACTACTACTGGAGCTAACAAGAGTTGGGCTTTGGGCATTGCTGAACCCACTGGATTTCCTTTTCGGCCCTTTCCCATTTTCCCGCACTCTTTCCCGGTCGCTCTCTGCTTCACTTTCCAACTCTGAACCCGAAGTGCTCTCCAGCTCACTCCCACTCGGAGTGCTGACGTCGTCCAGATCACTACTCTCTGATTGGTCGCTCATCTTCCCGCCGTGCCTCGGCTTGGAGACGGATCCTTCTCTCTGACGCTCCATGCTCTCGCCCTCCCCGTTGAACGAATCCTTGCGTAAACTCTTCAAGAGGTCATGCGACCCAGGGATGGGTGAGGACACCAGTGGACTCTTCCGTAGTTCAGTGCTCGGAGGGCCATTAATGGGTGATGTGGATGGGATTAGAGGGGGCCGGTGATAAAGTCCCGATGGGAAAAGTCCTGGAAAACTGAATGGGAATGCTGGAGGGCCTGCTGGGAATGTCAGCCCACCATGGTGCCGGTTTGTCCCGAAATAGTCTGCTAAACCAGGACTCCCATGGCTCATTCCAGCCAGTGCGGACTTGTCCAGGCCAGGGGTGCCAGGGAGGGCCATGCCTTGGGCAAATAACCCTCCTGCAGCAGCAGCGAAATGGTTTTTACCCTCGCAGAAGCGCCGATGCTTGTTTAGGGATGACGTGGTGCTAAACATCTGGCCACAGTCTTTGCACTTGATCTGAGTGCGACAGTCTGCGTGCATGCGCTTGTGGCGGCACAGATTGGAGAACTGCGTGTAAGATTTGTGGCAGACCTCACCTAAAGACAGTGAGACATGGACATACGGCATAAAAGGACGGTTTTGGCTTGTCGCACACATCCATTAACAAAACAAACAAAAATGCAGGATAAGCAAGGATGGCAGCTAAAAGAATGCAATGTCACACGCAGGTGCACACACACACACACACATACACACAGACAAGGACATCACAATGGCTCTATTTTAAGCGTGAGAAGGAAACAGAGTTGAATGAATCCTCTCCCGCAGGTCCGTTCCCATGGACCAAGCGACGTCTCTGTCTATCATACACACACACACATATATCTCACATCATTACACATTATTCAATCTTCACACAACATTCTTGAAAACTCATGATGGATCCTAAACTCTTGTTCATGTCATTGCACACACACTCCGTCCTAACGACAGTGTATACAGTTAAATCCCTAACGCACACTCTGAAAGTAATAAAATCACCCTATACATTACCAATCTAACACCTCTAGTGTGAAATGAAGCCTTTTAACCACCCGCATTTCTCATCATAATCACATATCTTATTGCAAACGTGACATTTTATTTTAATTTATGGAAGCTAGGGAGTCTAGCAGGGGGGTTTTGCTAATCCCTGTCAGATTGCATGAGGTGTGAGGTTCTACCGCGGGATGTGTTTATGGAGTCGGCCACTCACACAGACTGATCAAGAGATGGGAAGTAAATATTAGTGCAAGGTAAAAGGAAGACTTAAAGATAAAGGAAAGAAAATTATTACTCACCCTCATGTTGTTCCAAACCTATATGACTTTCTTTCTTCCGCAGAATACAAAAGAAGATATTCTGAAGAACTCTTTTTGTCCATTCAGTGAAAGTTAGTGGGGTTCAAAACAACATTGGACCCCATTGACTTTCACTGTATGGTAAAAAAGAAAGAAATGCTTTCAAGTTTGGACCAACACAAGAATGAGTATAAAAAATATGACATTTTGCTTTTTTTGTTCACACACACATACTTACAGCTTGGATATTGTAAATTCAGGAAGCACAGCAGACACACACACACAGACACACATCGCTTTATAATTGTGAACAACTGGACACACTCGGATGAACAGGTGTGAAATCTGGGGCGTGTGTGAGGGAAGATCTGTGGGCACTTCAGAGTGCTGTGTTTTGTCAGGTCTTAATAAACCGTAACAAAATATTATAAACACATTCCGCAGTGGTGAACAGCCAGTAGTAAAATAAATGTGCATGAGTGTTTGTGTAAAAGAGAGATTTTTCTCTTGTAGTTTAACATAATTAGCTATATTTTTGTCAATGTTTGTCTCAGCAAATGCGGAATGAAGTATATGAACACATACATGCAAACCAAGGCACATGAGTGAGTTTATAGCTCTGTTTTCAAAACATGAAACCTTATAAGTGACTAATTTTGGAATGCTGAAACAAAGTACAATTTAATTGAATGATATTTTATTAATACTTTTCAGTTTTGAATGAAATATATTATTAATTATTATAAACATAAGGCTATGGAGGCAGCTGACTAGAGAGCATAGCTGTGCCTATGTACGAATCAAAGTGCATGTGTGTGGTGTATTCGGTGTGTGTGTTGTTGCGAGGTCATTAAGTGTTGTTAGCTGTGCTTGTTCAAATGCTGATTGCTGTAAATGGCTGTGTGCTAGTCTCTGTATGAGCTGGGCTGCATGTGGTAGTGATTTTCCAGGAATGGAGTTAGCAAGCTAGTTACTGTCTGATATGTGGTGGTTTTGGGGGGGACGTCTACACGATCTGTGTGTGGGATCAGCACTCCGAGGGTCAATGCAAGAAGTTCAATTGGGCAAAGTTCAGAGGTAGCAGTACGGTTTAAGACGTTTAAAGCTCTATGAGGGAAAGTGAGGTATTTATGCAGGATGAGATTAAGAATTCAAGTCATTCGCGTATGAGTTTGGAGGTCAAAGGTCATGCACTGGCATTGCAGAGCTGATTTACTGACAAGCATTGTAAGAAAGTCGAGGGTAACCATGCATTGAGTGTACCAAAAGATTCAAAGCTGATATGATTATAAGAACATGACTTTGTTGGTATGTATAAATATAGTCAGTAGCATTTACTCTAGATTTGACCTGAGAATCAAAAGAGTCAAAGTGAATCATCAGTCATCACACACCACAGCACAAATGGAGTGTACACATAAACAGAGACCACACACATACAGTACAAACACACACAGTCAGTAAACACAGTGCATCAAACATCCTAGCCTGCAAAAAAAGTAGCTTTAGGTTATAGCATCACACATTTGTTTTGAATTAAAAATAATATTAATATTAATTAGATATAAATATGAACTAATAATATTAAACAATTTAACATTAATAATAATAATATTCATAATAATTAAGATACTGTATAATATTAGTATACTTGTTGGTTATTGGTTATTTAATTCTGAGTACCCTGTGTTAAAGACAACATGAGAACAAAATTACCCCCATTTTATTTAATAATGCACATTCCTGGTCTTCCTGGGCATGATTCATCAGTCCATGGTTTTATAAAGAAAAGCGTAATCTCTGAAACAGCTTCACTTCTCTGACTGCCACTTTTCACAATCTAATTCATTCCTGATGTACTGTATAAAAAAAAGACGTTTTTTTCTTCTTCTTTTTTTCTGCCTGAATATTGTTTTTCTGTGAAATGTGTCATTTTGGAAGTAAAATGGGAGTAAATGCTGTTTCATGTTGACTTTAAAAAGTGCAAGATCAGGATGATCTGACATCAACATAAGTGCTGGAAAACCCAGGCCAGCCGGAGAGCTCCACCAGTCTTTTTAAAAAAACAAGATTTCAAAAAAACTTTTAATAGATGCTTTTATTTAAAGTACATTGAAGGCATAGTTGTCTTTAAACTATACGACTATAACAAGTGGAGTGGAGCTATCTAGAATCCGGAATCAAACATTCAGACTTTGGCAGGAATTTCAAAAGGATGCTGGAGCTCTCCAGCTCTGCAGTGTGGTGTTCAGAGTAGAAAGCATGCAGACTTACATATGAAGGGTCTGAGTGACTTACATATGAAGGGCTTGACGGAAGAGTGGATGTGTTTGTGTTGTTTAAGGCCTGAGGAGGTGGCGAAGGTCTTGCCGCAGTCAGGGCAGGCGTGAGCTCGAGCCCCCACGTGCTGAGAGCGGATGTGCCTCTGCAAGTTACTGGGGTCTGTGAACACCTGCTGGGTAAAGAGAGAGAAATACAGGGAGGAAGTTTACATACACAGCCTACAGATATTAGACTCTGGATCTCAACTGGTTTTGCTTCAGGATGTAGATGCTGTACAAACGTAAACAAAAACATCTATAGGTTCATGCTCTAAAATACAGTCGAGTTGAACTGGACGTACAACCTTTGATGCATCACAACAAAGAATGTTCACCTCCATTTTATACATTGATAAGCCTATTTATTTTGCTATCCTCCTAACTATGCATGATTATACGGTTAGTTGCTTTTTATTATTTGCATTTAGCACCATTTTTTTTTTTTGCTTGAGTTTGAGGTAACAGATTTGGGAAAAGTGAGCTACAGTAAGAGACACCTGTTTTTGCACAAATGTCTTTGCTAATGTCTGGACTCTACCTTTGAGCAGTTTTCACATTCGTAGTGCTTGCCGTTGTCATGTGACATCTGGTGGCGAATCAGGTTTGATTTCCAGTTGAAGGCCTTCGGGCACTGATCACACTTATACTCTCTCTCGTCGGAGTGAGACAGAGAGTGAGTGTCCAGACTGAGAGAAAAAGAGAAAGACAGATTTATTAGATTTCATCATGTTTGGGTTCAAATCAGGAGGGAGCTAAATCTCTTTAGAGACATCCCCGGGGCTGTTCTCAAAAGTTAAAAGCATGTCTAAAAAAAGAAAATATTGTTTGGGGAATGGTTAGAATTAGTCTGTAGTCAGTTAGCTTCATATAAGGGACTACAGTTGAAATTTAGCTTATACTGTTAGAATATTTGTGTTGGGAACTAATAAAATAAAATAAAATAAAAATAGTACTATAAAAATACCTCTGTGCATCAGGAAAGACTTGTTCGCACTCCTTACACTCCTGTGGTGAGCCGGGTAAGTTTAGAGGGAGAGAGCGTAGGTGCAGCGGGTCGAGATCAGCATCGTCTCCGGCGCTGGGCAGACCCTGTTTAGACAGCTTGAAGCCGGAGGAAGGCGGGGGACCGCATGCATGCTTCTGATGGTCCAACAGCTCTGAACCAGACTCGAAGTTTAGGTCACAGTCTTCACAGCGGTATTGACGCTCCTCTGCAGGACAACACAAAAAGTGAGTTAGCAAGCGAGTGTATTCGTGTGTGTGTGTGTTTATGTGTGTATGAGTGCGAACTCACCGTGTATGTCTGGAGCCATGGTCTCACATGAAAACTCCTCAGCCTTCATGAACAGTAAGAGTTCCTCACCCGGCTGGACCTCTCGGACCACACGGTAAAAGATCTAGAGAGAGAGACAGACGTTACACATGGGACAAAACACTGATACACTACTTTTTGAAAGAAAGCAATACTATTATTCAGCAAGGATGCATTAAACTGATCAAAAGTCACAGTAAAGATTTCCAAATGCTGTTCTTTTGAACTTTCTATTCATCAAAGAATCCTAAAAAAAAAAAAAAGCCATAAAAATATTAAGCAGCATATTTTACGAGCATGTGAAATAAATAAATGATGATTTGAAACGACAACACATTTTGATGGACAAACAATGATGGGAACCTGAGCTTGAGTTTGTGTGTGTGTGTGTTTGAAAGAGATGGTGTTAAGGGATCCGAACGGAGACCTATCTGTTTGACACACACACACTTCCTGTGTGAACACAATAGGTAGTGGGAGAAACTGTTGTGTTATTTGGATGGTGTTATTTTTGGCAAGCCTTGAAGGCATTAGACGGTTCACTTCCTGTGCAGTCCGGTGGTGACATTTGAGCATTCTTATTAGAGATGCCACACAATCAGACAGACACACACAAAAACTTCTAATAATATGAGAAAGGCAATCGTGAGTTGGAAACCTCTTGGAAAAGCCACAGTCATAATGTGTGTGTGTACACAAGACCCAGCAGGCCATGGGGGACACGGAGGGACCGAGTCCTGCTCTATTGTTTAACAGGAGAATACAGGGAACTAGCAGAACCCTCAAGACGACATGAGAACAGAGTCTCTCACACAACCTTCCACAGCCCGTCTACCCCTTCTGGTGCCTTCCTGCAGATCTCTGATATCTTGTACTTGTAATGTCACAACCGACCCTGTTTCTTTGCGTGTATGTGTGTTTTTATCGCACACACTCGCGCACAAAGGCAGGGAGCAAAGGGCCACAATAATATTGTGAGTACGAGACAATGGCAGAGCTGTTCAAATGTGGTGCGAGGGGCTGTGGGGTGAATGATACGGGCACACACACTCGTACAACTTGTTGGCCCGGGGACGTAGCGAACCAGCCAAGCTCAGAGATCAGGGGAGTCACTCCTGGCAACCCCTCCTGGGCCCTGGCCTGGATCCTCAGTGCCAAGGGTGAGTGCCAACCTGCAGGTCTTTTCAGATGCCACAGAAGAGTCTGTGTGTGTGTGTGTTTGGCTGCGTGCGCAAACACACACTCACATACTATGTTCTGAGAATGAATGTGTCTTATCAGGAGGATTTTTGAGTGGTAACCAAACAGAAGGTAATATATCAAGATGAGTGATACAATGTCACTATAGCTAGACAAAACTGACTCCAGAAGAAACTAGATGTGACAATCCACTCTGGATGTTCCCAAAGGGAAATTAAAAAAACAAAAATAAAAGAAATAAAAGAAGTAATTAATACATAAAATGAATATAACAAAATGTGTAACCAAAATAAAGAAATACTTCCTGGATTTTCCCAAATGTAAAAAGAAATCAAGAAAATATATATTTATAAATATATACATATGAACCATTCTTAGTAAATATACTAAAACTAAATAAATAAATACTCCCTTCCTGGAAGTTATCAGATAAATATTACTCATAAATAAATAAAATGGTATCGAAACACATTTTTTTTATTTATTCAGGGAATAGGATTTAGGTTAGTCTATAGTCATTAAAATTTTGGAACGTTCTCATGGGGGTTATGAGCAACAAACTTCTGTATTCTGTATAACAGGTCGCATCACTTCCGGTTCAGGTCTTTTGTATGTGCTGTTTTAGTCAAGATGCCTTCAAAGGAGTGAGCAAAGATGAGCATAACTGATGCCCATCACATATGCAGAGTGATATCTAAAAGTTATTTCATTTTTCTTCTTCTATGTCCATCAGTTCAAACTGCTTTTTTTTTTGATGAGACCAGTTTTCCTGTTTGTTCATGTGATACTCAACATAAAGCCTATTAGATAACTAGGTAAACGTATCTGGGTTAGAATGTCACTTAGGTTAACTAACTGATAAGTGAAGGTTGCAAACTTGTAAGCTTTCAGTGGCTTACAATAACAGATTAAGTCAATTGAGTCTACCTTAAACAAACACACACAAACACAGAGTCAGCCTATCCCATACCTATACCTCAATCTACATGGAAATTTAATATGATCCTTGTCAATCTTTGACCCATACAAAGAAGTCAAAGTCAAGTCAAAGACGACAAATCCCTAAGGGTTTATCCTCAGGTCTTATCACTACAAGATTTTAAGAGACACAGGCACTTGCACTTTCAGGGCACTCAGAAGTGCACTAGATACTCGTTACCTTGACTTCAGCGATTACTGAAGCAAACAGCGCAAGACTTTCCTCTCTCTTGTGTTCCAAGTAAGAGAGGTCACTTCATATACAAGCACCACACACACACATACACTCACATAGCTTGCCTCTATTGTGTAAGTGTCTATGAGAAACGGATGTTAGTCGACTGATGTCCTGATAAACAGGTCCATTAGATCCTTCGTTCAGCACTGTAGGAATGAAAAACACTCTCACACCGACCAACGCCTCACACTAAAATCCCCCTTTCCCCTTCCCCAGGTCCAGTGAAAAGGTGACGAGTGATAAGCTGGAATAATCGGCCAATCAGCATTCCTTGTGTCCAAGTCGATCAATATCTGTCCAGCCATGGATTTTGTTCCTGTTAATTGTTTTAGTAATACTTCAACTAGTTAAACATTAAAAAGCAAAAGTTAAATGATTTGTTTCACGCTCAATCTTTTTCCTCAATTTTAAATAAAATGTCATTGTTAAATAGCAAAATCAAAACCCATCTGGTAGTTTGTCCTGTTTATTTGTCTAGGTGACATATTAAGGAATATATTAAGAGTGTGATTTTGAAAAAGAAGAGCACATTCTTTCACCTCCACGTAAACAGAATTTACTATTCTTTCTGAAGACTGATAACTGATAACAGTCTTTTGTATCTCTCTCTCCAGGTTTTGTCGCTATACAGCGTGATTATAAAAACATGTGGGTTGCCGGAAGCCATAAAGTCTAAGCTGAGCTCTTTGTTATGACAGGGTGTCATAGTTTAACAATTATGGCCCATATCAAAATGCTGTGTCTGAACAGGTTCCCTTCCTCCGTTTCTCTCTCTCTTCTAGTTTCTCTTTATGTAACCCTTTAGAAAAGTAAAATATTTAGAAAATCTAGACCTCCCAGCCATCATATTGTCTTGCTCTCTCACTCATGTGCTGGTCAAACATCAAAAACACACTTGAGATTGAGAAACGTTTTGATTAGATTCTTCTAGTGGATCTCATTTTGTAAAGCTGAATATGGAAAAGTACAATTGGCCTGTTTAACATCTGAATGCATCCTCATCATACGTCATTTCACTTGAAAAGGCCGACTGGTGCTTCAAGGGCCCTTTGTTATCTGCAGATAGGCAAATGGTAAGTTAATTTCATAATGACTGTGTCCACTGAATATCTCACAGTGTGATTTGGATGCCCAGAAGAGTGTGATCTCACCAAGATAATCCTGATAGTATGAACTGATTGCATGATTATTCATCCTTGCTGTGTAGTGGTTCAAGAAAGCATAACATAACTTCAACTCAACCCAATCCAGCTTAAACGTTACTTCAATGTCTCTAGTCCAGATCAACTCACTCTAAATTGAATCCAGTCCATCTCTTTACTCGTCACAATTCATTCCAGTCATGTTCAGTTTGCTATAACTAATCTTAATTTAATTTTGCCTCATCTTATTTTTTTCCAGTCCAAGTCAACTCAATGAAAATAGGTTTAATCCAGCTCAACTTAATTGAATCCAGCTCAACTTGACCTAACCCTATTTTTACTCAATTTAATCCAGCACAACTCAACACAATGTAATCTCAATTCAATTCAGACCAACTCAACTCAGTTTACAATTTAATTGAATCCAGTCAAACTCAGTTCAGTATAACTGACTATAACTTTCATCCAGTGTAACTTAATCCAACTTGATCACTCAATTTATCCTCAAAATATGGACATAAAAGCTTTAATTTTTAAAAGTTATCAATTTAAACATGCAAAACCGGACAAACTAATCTCACAGAATTGGTTCAACCATTAAAGAAGAAAATAAAAGGTAAACAGTAACATTTTGTAGTGTGTAAAATACTGAACGTGACTCATTTCTCTCTCTCTTTTTGAGTCTCTTTCCCACTGTCTTTCACTCCACAAGGATTCAGGAATTTATCGTCCCTCATATCCGAGTGCAAAGATACAAAATGTGTGATTATCATCATGCTTGACCGAGAGAGTGTGTGTGGGTGTGTGTGTGTGATCCTGGCCTGTGGTCCTTCACGCTGCAGCCAAGATACAAAAGACCAAAACACAAAAACACAGTGACACACGCAGAACGAGAATGCAGAAGGAATCTGCTATTAAAGATAGCAGAAACACCTTTAAACACTTCATTATGTTGGCCATGCAGGTGCTCAGTGTGTGTGTGTGTGTTCTCCACGTACCTGCTCATGTATCTGGCAGGCTGTGAGGTTGTGTTGGTGGGTGGATGGAGAGATCTGGACGTGCCTTAGCCAGCTCCTGCTATCACATATGCTCCCATCCAAACCTGTCTGCTCGCCCTGACAGAGAAAGAGAACGAGAGATCAGTCTTTGATCTTGAACTTTTAAAGATTACTGTGCAGTGACTAAAATCTCATGCCACCCACTGAGGCAACACAGATAAGTCAAACTTATCGAAACACACACACACTTTCTCTAAAACACTCATACAGGCTCTGACAAAATCTTTGCACACTTCACTTCTCTCCCTCTCACAGACTCTTTAGCTTTACTGTCTAGTCATCAAGCGAATGTCACAAACAAAACAAAATTCTTAACTTCATCTTAAACATCATCTAGTGGATCTACTCACTGATGTCTGTCCACATAAGTTTTACACATCAACACCACAGTCATTTTTTGAGTATTGTATAATCCAGTGTTGTTTTGTGAAATGGACAAAATCTATTTTAAATGCATAAATTCTATAATTTTTCAATGTAGTTAGTCTATTTCATTTTCAGCACATATCCCCTGTCAAACATTTGAAAGGTTTTACTATTTAAATACAAATTTAGCTGCATTTAAATGGAAAATGGAAAAGCTTAAAATGTTCTAAACAGACTTGCATGCAAACAAAATGATTTTGCAAAGACAAAAATATTTCATAAAGACACTTTCAAGTCAGCACTACACTTTCTGCCAAACATCTCGAAACAGAATAACGGGTTTATCTTTCCAGAGCTGCCAAACAGTTCACTTTCTCTCTCGCTCTTTCCATGATGTGAAACAAATATGAAAACATTGTTAACGGAGAAAAAACGCGACAGTTACTTTTTAACTGCAAACGAAACATTTCTTTAATATTTTGTCCCCGAGTTTATGTAATTTAAGGTCAAATAAATCAATTGGATCAACACTGATACACTTCACACACTTAAAAAAAATACCTATAGGAACAAACAATTTGGGTTAAAATAAATAAATAAAAACAAAACGTCAGAAAACATGCAGGCTAGGCTATGTAGCAAAAGTGCATTCATTTAGCCTAGAAACTTACTGTTAAAATAATGTTCTTTTTTTTAGAAAAAGAAAAGTTTTTATTTCACACTAAACTCGTAAAACTAGAAACATTTATCAGCTATAATTATCCTTCTTTCATTTTTATATATTCTATTGTCTTGACAAGAACCCATCTGCTGCTTTCATTGAACAATATTCGTTTGACGAATGCACACAATTGTTTCAAACAACAAAAAAGTGAAATATCGCTACGAAAATAAGTTTACTCAAATGCTACTAAGTGAAGAATAGACAATAAAATGTTACTCAGAAAAATACCCCCCAAATACTACAAAAATACGAAACGTGAATACCAAGAAAAAAAAGCTAAAGATCTTAGCGACACACACAAGCAAGGCGTTTAAAGCGTTACGCTTCAGAGAAAAGAACCGAAGCCCTTCGTTTCGATACAATTAAACAAGTTCAAAGGTGAAGGATGAATGGACTTTTATTTGACCATTAATTCGCGGCTTGTCAGAAAGAAACGTTGATATAAGGACATAAACCGCCTACCTTAAGAACCCCACGGAAATCTCACTGGGAAGAATGAGTCAAAGAAACACCACCAAAAAACTCACAACAGCCCCGAATGAAGCTTGTACGCGCCCGTTGTGTTTTGCGGCATGTATCCCGTGTCTCTCGTTGAAGAGAAAAAAAAAAATCACCGCCTCTTTCCTCTCGTTTTGCTCTTATCAAGTGGACGAGACGCTAAATTTCCCCACGGACAACAACTTTGTCCAACTTCAGTCCGTTCTTCCCACGGCTGAAAGTCCCCAGGTGTTGATCTGTCTGACTGGCGGTTTTATTCACTGTCCCTCTTCCTGGCATCGGATCGCGAGCGCAAGAGTGTGAACAAGAAACAAGCAGGAGGAATCGTCCACCTTCAGTGATCCGAACGTGTAGGAGTGTCTCTGTCTGTCCCGTTCAAGTGGATCCTCTCTTGTCCCATGCGAGGGAGATGCGCTGAGGAGGAGGAGGAGGATGATGAGGAGGAGGGGGGGACCTGTCTCGCGTGTCCACCAGTCGGAAGTTGCGCGAGGCTCCCCCGCGCTCGCGGAGAGGCGAGGTCAGCGCGAGGTCGGGACGGGGCTGCTCGTGGATAGACCCGAATTTCCCCGCTTTGATGAAGCCATCCAGCAATCATGAAATCAGCGGCGTTTTTCTCTCCCAGCTTGCTTTGCTCGCGGGGGAAGGACACGAGAACGAGGGATCGGCTCGTGCAAGTGCAAGTGCAGTGAGGTGTAACTCTGTTCCAGTGTTTTCTTTAAAGCTAAATGACGTATAACTAACATTACGACTAATTTGAGAAATAACATTTATGTTTAGCTTCAGTAAACACAAAAATGCTATACTTTACCTCTTCAAATAGTATGCCTACTTTTTTTTCTTCTTTTCCGCCCTCATGCACATTACACCTGCTCCCAGTCACGAGCCCACGAAAATCCTCTCCCATTTCTTCCCATACACAAAACCACACAAATCATTATTACACGATTTAAAAAAGTTTTTTTTATGAGCAGGACAATTATTTCCTACCATTTCAACAGCATCTCCGCTAAATTAAATGCGTTAAATAAAGACATTTTTATGTGCTCATGCACTATTTGTTTTGCACTAGCATATAGCCTAGGCTAGCTTATATTATTTTTTTAAAAAAAATATAGCTTATGTCTTAAAAATAAAGGTTCAGCAAGTGGTTTAGCAACCAACACTATTCGATAAACCATTCCCCATATCAGAGTTTCTAAATAACTTTAAAACCTTAAAAAAAAAAATTCTTATCAGACCCTTAAGAGAGAGAAAAGAGACATTTTCTTGAAGAGTCCAGCGCATGTAAGAAGCACAGTCCATTGACGGGACTCTAATGACTCTGATGAAGATGAATATGCTTCCCTGGCCTATCTTTGACATTGAACTCAAGGTCCAGATAATGTCCATTGTTAAATGAAATCGCAGGGCAGACGCGGAGGAAGGACAGGAAAAATCATGTGTAAATACGGCGGCCCTCGCCAAAGATTCCCATAGACCCGCGCTCCTTGAGAACCGCAAAGAGACCCCGGTCCGCCGCGCATCGATTTCCTGCCATTCCTCGACTTGTCCATTGTTGGAAGCCTTTTTAATTTAGCCATAAATTGGGAAAGCTCAAGCTATGAGCTGTTCTATTTTCTCCCTGTCAGGATGAGGGATTTGGTTTATGATGCATTGTGTATTAAATACAAGTAATCTGGGAAAGTGATTGCCTGGCCTCGCCGGGGTCTGATGGAGGCTGGTGATAGAGGCTCCTCAGCTCAATTGTTCTGAAAAGGAGGAAGCGATAGCAGATAAACAAAAGGGCCGGTGGTATCTGTACCAAGCCAGGGGTAACACGGGGTAAGAGAGCCCACGGGGCAGGGGCAACTCCTGAAGAGTCACTTTTCGTCCGTCCCAGTAGATGGCGTAGTGAGCCGGGTTAAACAGGGGAGGAAAACTTTCCGCTTTCCTCAGGAATGAAGTTGCATTTTTTTTTTTGCATTGGTGACACGTTGTTTAATGTCATATGTGTAGGGAGAAACCTGCAGGCAGTATTTGAATGGGCACAAATGTTTAATTCGATATAGCTATTCGTGAAGTCGAGAGACTATTATTTAGAGAACTGCCCGCCTCTCGCTCTCTCTGGAGGGAAGCGCATCAGTCAAGCGCGGAGCTGTGGAGAAACCGAGACCGGGAGTCATTTCTTTTCACGGCTGGGAAATTGCTGCACACTACGCCGTACACATTAAGGCGTCAAATTGCTAGATGGAACATGAAAGATTCAGTTGTATTGCCTCCAAATAGAAAATCGCAGGAACGACCTACAATGCAACTCGACGCTTAACCATGATTGAATTCAATAAAACAGAATTTAATCCGACCCTATATGAATTTATTCAATAAAAGCACTGTCATTTAGATAGTAGATTTTTTGTTTTGTTTTGGTGTTTGTTTAAACTAGCATGTTACAATGTTACAGCTGACTGCATATGGGTCAATGACAAATAGCTAAAGATAGGATGATATTAAGGAGAAATACTATTAAAAAAACCTCAAGTTTAAAACGTGTCAAAGTTGTAAAATTTTTTTTTAAGTGCAATCAACTTGGATGTTTAAGGCATTTCAACTTAAATTCCATTAGAAAAATGAGTTGAATCTTGTATAGCTAACTCATAAAAAAGTTGAAAATTGCTTAACTTATTTTGATAAGTTAAAGCAATATGTTGTTATAACTTATTGATTTTTTTTACAGTGTAAAAATGTAATCTTTGACTGAAAATGTGGTGATGTAACAAGTAAATGTTCTAAAAAACGTCATGAATCATGTGATCAAACAATACGTGCATTTTCATATTTATTTTTCTAAAAGGTGATATTAAAAATTAATTGAATGGACGACGTGTAAAGTGGTCCTCTCAGTTCTTCACACAAGACAACAAAATGGCTTCCTGCATGTTGGATACGCCACAAACACTTTGTTTCATTTGATGTAGCTACATTTTTAGAAGCTATTAATAACATTTAAAAAACAAAAATGCTATAGGCTACCGATTATTTTTAAACAAACAAACAAAAAACAACAACAACTGATTGTTCCAAGCTACTCATAGCTTATTGACTAAACTCCCCCCCCCCTCCCCCACATTTTTGATTTTATACTACACACATTGTGTGTATGAATTACTTTATAACGCGTTTTTGATTGATCTAATCCAAACAGGATAAAGAGCGTCACTTCATTGACCCACACTGTGACGATTAGGAAAAATAGCCTACTACAAAACATGTTGTGTTCGAAGGATTTCATAAGATTTTAAATGTTTGGCGTTTTATATGTATTCATAAACACTTTGAACAGAATAACAAATAGTTTTTCTTTTTTGAGAAACTGCTTTCAAGCAGCGTCAAAATCTTTCTATGACTTGTTTTTATTTGTTTGTTTGTTCTGAAATACTTTAAAGCTGCATCTTGTATTTTTGTTTCGCAACATAAAATCTGCTAAAGTTTG